GCTTCAGGCCTTGGCTAGCGAAAGCTGAAAACCGCAACCCTCTATCTTTTATTCCTTTTGAGTTATTCAAAAAATAACCAGGGGCACTGCTTTTTGAAAACGATAGTAACTTAGAAATGTCTGATCAAAACTGAATAGATATTCTGAAAGTCCTAATATCAGGCTATAATTTCGTACAGCGCACTTTTCTAGAAAATGCTCGTTTCCAGAGAACAAAGAGAAGTTCGTAGAGCACTTGAAAAAAATTCCATTCTTTGTAATTTCATAACGGGCTTGACTTAAACTCTACTTGGTAATAGAACCTCAAGGATTGCATCGATGATAAAAGTTTCAGTCCTGTGAGTTGGGCTACCGTTTAAAATATACGACGTAGAAGTCAAAATTATCTAATTCTCTAACTTTCGACCAAGCAGTGGTACTTCTCAGTCCACAAAGACCTCGCCATCGAGTTGATAGAGAAAGTTCAAAAAAACTCTACCGAGTTGTTCACATTTTTAAATCTTGTTTTCAAAAATTTAGGTGCCTATTATTATGAACAACATATATCGATAGCAGCAGGTTATGTCTGGCGAAAATCAGAATGTTTCAGTTTCGCATGTTTAAGTGACGAAACAAACCACATGAGCGAGTCTACTTGGACGGCCATTCGACAATTACTGATTAGTCTTATTCAAAATAAAAAAAATAAAATAAAACAATTAAATATTATTAGTGATTCACCATCCAGTCAGTATCGTAATAAGACCACGATATATTTTCTGAAACGTTACTCAATGTCTGAGAATTTAGTTATGCGTTGGATATTTCTTGAAAGTGGCCATGGAAAGGGGGTGGCTGATGCGATCGGCGCTTCGGTGAAACGAATGTTCGATGATATTATACGTTTTCATCCAGATGAAACATATAAAAATGCTGGTGAACTGATGCGTAATGTACAAAATTCTACAAGTATTCGATTTTATTTGTATGCTAAAGAAGATATTGATGCTATTCGACAACAAATACCATTATTAACAAGTATAAGAGGAACATCACTCTTCCACGAAATTATAGCTCATCCAGATGGAAAAATATTTGCTAAATCGAAATCGGACGATGAAGAAAAATTAATAAAAACCAATTTTTGAACAGTAAATAACTAATAATTGTACATACATAAAAGAATAAACAGTTTCAATACTGAACAATGAACAAGTTTAATGCTTTTTTTTTTTAAAGTGTTACTATTTTTATCTGCTAAATAGTATTTTTTATCTGCTCGCTAACATGTTGAGTTTTTGACCGTTTGTGCTGTTGTTATTATTGTTGAATAATTATTCTTTGTTGTCTTTTAATAATAACTTGAAATCATGATTGTCGTTCAGATTGCCCCTGAGCTGAAGAAAAGATTTTAGAATACAACTTACGAGGAAACGTTCCCAACTGATCAATCGCTTTCGAGCCGAAACCTAGTGGACTATAGATAGTCGACCATGCTGACTCGAATATCAATATGAGACGGGCCAACAAGCCTCCAGAGACCAGCTTTCTGGAAAACTGGTTTTCCAGAAACTGCAAAAAACACCAAAACATTTCTTAATGAGGCATAATTGTAGCCCGCACATTTCTGATTAAAAGGAGACCTCTCCCAGCTCTACACAACCTTTCTTTGCAAACTTATAGAATTTACAAGAAAAGCCCTAAATTACTTTCTTCTTTTGGACAGGAGACTCTCCAACGAAAGGCTCATTTTTTCCGAAAGAAAGAAAGTGACAGTCGGGAAATTTTTTATTTTGTGATCCCTGATGATACTAGTATATAGGCCGACTAAAGAAAAAAATTTCCAAGCAAGTTTATTTTGTTGACTTTTTTTAGTCAAACCGTACAATACCAGCGCAATCAGCTCATATACACGAGCACAAGCAATCAGTAAATAAAACATTACACGGTCAACGGGCAACCAACTACATCTAACCAAACCGCATAATCGTCAGATGCGGACAACAATGTGACACAATTGCGTATTCACAAAGACTTCACGACCGAACGATTATCACAAATCACTGATTCGTCTCTAAGATTAAAAACGAACTAATCATAGTATTGAGTTTTGGCTGGAACAACTTTATTACAAGGAGTGGATGACGAGATTGAATAGATGTAGTGATCAGTGACATGTCAAACACTTGTTTACCTACATTTCCAAGGCAGCTAACAAAGGATCACAACATTGTGCCCACACTTATCGAACGACAGCTGCCAGATTTTCGTTCTACCACATGTTCTATTCTGAAATTTGCTGATGACAGAATACGTAAATAGCTTTTATTACCGAATGCGAACACACAAAGACGAAAAGAGATAAACAGTGATCCTCCTACTGCTATACAGACAAATATAGTTAACCACCACCGACAACACAAAAAAGAACATGCGATACAAAACAAAATCGAAATTCGAAATCGAATGAAAGACACATCAATAGAACAAATACAATGAACAAACATTTGACAAGAAGACCAGTCGGAACAAGAATGAAGCAAGCCACAATAGCAAGCATTTATAAAGACAGAGCGTTACCACCGCCGCTGTATTACAGCCAACACCTCGGCTATACAAATTCCACACAAACCGAATAAACCATAGACAAAACTGAAAGAATCCACAAATACTTAAATATGAACAACAAATATTCTCCTTATCCGATCATCTGAAAAGCACAGCACCAGTAAAATAGGTCCACAAATCTTTCGAACCAGTTTTCCATTAGCAGAAACGTAGAGGGAACCTCACACAAGTAGGGGAAACGGAATATCAAGCCATCTAATGAGTCCCTTAAGCAAGGACGAAATCTGGATCATGGCAGCTCTTACTCACCAGTGAATTTTTACTTGCCATTGCAGCAGTAGTTTTCGCAGATTCTAGGATCTGTAGTAACGGCAGCAGCAAAAGAGCAAGTGGTTATGATTATGTCAAGTTATTTGAGATATTCATACCTAAAGGAATGCCTTAGCAATAAGGTAGACCGATTTCCAAGCCATCTGATGATTCCTCTGAGCGGGGATGAAATCGCGATAATGGCAGCTCTACTCGCACCCTCAAGGTTCTCATTCGCCACCCATCACTGACCGCACTCTTATTGAAATGAAGACTCGACGTCGAAAAATTTTACAACCCGCGAAACGTACCTTACTCAATCTGTATTTTTATGCCTATGAATACAAAATAATCAACGAATATGAACAACATTATCAACAGGTATTGAACGAATTTGAAGTCAAATTTGCTCATTGTCCGATCGTCTCGAATTGGTTGACTCTTTTCCATGCTGTACAAACCTATCTAAATGATCGAACCCATCACATCATTCACGAGACCAATCATAAAATCAAACATTTCCGTAAGATCATTGCTCGTCGTCGTCAACGTTCATCATTGGCTAAGAAAACGATTGGTGTCTCTCCTCAACTGACCATCGATGTTCTTCATCATCCCTTCCATGCGGATGAACTGGTTCATCTATCTTTAGGTGGGTGTCAACTTGGATATTTTTGAAAGAAAAATAGTCTCTCGAGTATTGTTCTTTTTCAGGTGAAAGTTATATTCGACCCAATCAGAGTGCTCTTCGTCCATATAAACATCGCAAGAGTCAAGTGAAAAATGAACTGACTACTATAAAAGGCAAAGTGAAACGTCAATTGACCAACTATTGTAAACGAGAACCACCAAAAGCGATGATGGATCGATACTCGGACCTTTTGGATACTCGATTATGTCTACGTTTTATGGCTCCCTTGTCTTTTGTTAATCAAATGCGGGCAGAACGAGATCGAGCGAAATCCATTCGACGAAAATTAAGAAAAGCGAAACTTATTTTGCGTGTCTGTGACAAAGGTGGTGGTCTTCATTTGAGTACGAAAAGTGATCATGAACGAAAAGCAGCCGAATATCGACCAGAAACCCAAGCCTACGTAGAATTATCTGACAATCCATTAGAAGAATTAATCACCAATGTGACAAAAACATTGAAAGAATTGAAAGATAAAAAACAACTTCCATTGTATCGTTACAATCTTTTGGTACCCAATCGAGACACTGTCAAACTATCTTACATGTCCTTCAATCCCAAGGCACATAAGGTCTCTCTAATGCTTGAGCGCTTAATGATCTATGTATGACATATTTAGGAAGGAACACCATTACGACCTATTATGAATACCATTCAAGCACCAACACGAGCCATTTCGGATTTCTTAGATCAACTCATTCGACCCATCTACAATGAACAAAACAAAGCAAATACCATCATTGATGGTGTCAACTTGATTAAACGTCTAGAAAAATATGTGGCTGATGGTCATCTCAAAGCTTCCACCCTTTTCTGTATTTTTGATATCAATAACTTGTTTACCATGTTACCTCAAGATGCATCTATCCAGATTCTTGGTGAATTTCTTCGTGAACATGTCCGTGGAAGTGTCAAAAGTCTATCGGTGACGACCATTCAAAAATCAGCAGAAATTATATTGAAAGAAAATGCTTTTGTTTGCCACAACCAATTCTATAAACAAGTCGTGGGTGGTGCCATGGGTTCACCCTTCACTTTAACCTTGGCCAATATCTTTGTGTGGCATTGGGAAAAACGACGGGTCCAACGACAAAATAACCGCAACGAAATCTTTGGTCGATATGTTGATCTTAAGAAAAAGTCTTCTTCTTTTCTGGAGGATCACTCTAGATATATCGATGATGTCTTCTTTACATCGAACGAATCGGAAGAGACAATCAAACAATTATTGAAAGATGTCAATGGATGGCATAGCAATATCAAGTTAGAAGGGAAAATTAGTACGACTGTCCCATTTCTGGATGTTCTGGTGAGCAATCATTAGGGAATTCTACATACATCCGTCTATCACAAACCTTCAGCTGAACCTTATAGTGTACCATTTCTTTCGGATCATCCTCGATATACTTTTCCAAATATCATTCAAACGGCTCTTGTTCGAGCTGTACGATATTCTTCGACTTTCGAAGCATTTAATCATGAACGACGTGTTGTAGAATTAATGTTATTATACAATGGGTCAGTCTCTTCGATACTATCGACTTCATTCATTCATTTGTCAATTTTAGTTATCCAACCACCTATATTGATAAACAGTTTCGAAAAGTTTTCGGTACTGCCATTGCTAATACCACTATTTTACCACTGATTATTAATGAAGATCAGTTTCTTGAGTTACGCAAAAAACTGATGGGTCAACCCACCGCTCGACAATCTCAAATCGAAGCGAGCATTGCCCAATCCAAAGAGTACACGGATGAGTATCCAGAAACAGTAGAACCCCAACTGGCAGCATCAACCACAGGGAAGCAAGAAAAAAATATCAAGATAATATCATTATCCATTATACACATGAAAAACGATTCACACGAATGAAAAAAGATATGCATGAAATCTTTCGTGAAGCCTTTCGAGGACTTGGCATAGAAGCGATTCGACTGATTGTGGGACATCGCAATAGTCTCAATTCTGCACGAGAACTCATCCATAAACGACCACATCTCTCCATGTTGCAACTGAAAAAACAAAGTAATCCTCCTTAGTTTCAACCAGTTCACTTCCTTTTACTTTTTCTCTAGAACGAAAAGACGACCTTCCATCACTAGCAACATTGACCACATTTTGACATTTCCATTGATATTCTTCTCCTTTTCTTGTTCGTTTTCTTGTCTCATAATAATCAAGCAATGGAGCGAGCATCTGTTCCATTCGACTAATATCTACAAAAAAATTTCTTTTCTTTCTAGATACAGTATATATCCAAGAATTACTTCAACTCTATCCGCTTCCATTCCGATAGCCAAACAAAAACCATCAACAACTTGTCATTTTCAATTTTTAAAGATGTCGCACATCGACAATGTTCCCGGTCACTCACCGTTTTGTTTCTCGTCCTGCCAAATTCAGTATATAAAGAACACACCCAATTTTGTATATCGTCCCATTTCGATGGGCACATACAGTGGGAACCACTCGTCTGCCTGTGTGCTACTAACAAAAGTACAATGGAAGGCGTAGTGTGATAATGTTAACATCATAGTTGCTCTACTCACACCCTCACTGTTTTGCTCTATGGAGGCATGCTCAGCAACCTTCGACAATGAAGAAGATCTAATGCAACATGAACAAAAAGCTGAACATACTTATGCCAATCAAACCTCTCTATCAATGATAGATCGTGCACGTTATACGTACATTGAACATCTAAAAGGAGCACGTCTTGTGGATCAATTATCTACTACATCTCTATTCAATCTTTTCAACACCTGAATATCCATGATATTGAATTCAAATACCACAACGACCAACTCAATCAAACATTTTTAACACACGGTTACGCTATTCGGCGTAGACAAATAACAACAAAAATAACTCAGGAACATCAGAAATTTTTTACCAAACTATTTTGCGAAGGTGAAAACACTGGTAAAAAAGTCACAGTCGAAGCTGCATTTCAAGAAATGCGTCACTCAGTGAAATTAAACAAAACAAAACTCTTTACACCTAAACAATATTTGAGTAAAAATCAGATCAGAAGTCTTTTTGGTCGCTTAGCGAAGAAAGTATCAGTTGAGCAAAGGGCTCGCCGGATGCAAAATAACGAAAGACATAACTCATCAACGAGTAGCGATGAAGACGAATCAGAATATTATTTTAAACTTGAACAAAATCAAGAACTAGAAGATCTAAAAGCTGAAGAAATCAAGAATGCAATTAATAGTTACGATGATGCTGAATTTGATACAAATTTAACAAATGACAGTTAAAACATTATTACTATCTTTATTTGATATCATCATACATAATAAAGTATATCAAAAGAACATACGATCTGGCAACTTTTCGTTAATATTCTGCACCTAATGAATGTTGTAGAAACAAAAAATACCTTCATTTATCGGAATGATTAGTGATAGATATAATATAAACTTTCATATTACTCATAAAGATTAAAAGAATAATTTATTAACTTCGAAACGTAAGTGTATAACAGTATATGAATAAATGTGTATGTTACATTTTCATTTTACCTGTATTAATTGAACTGTAGATAGTTATATATAATGGAAGAGACTGAGAAAAGTATATATTATTTATATATAAAAGAGTTTCGTATTCGACATACATACTTTAGTTACGAAAAAATCGTTGGAAGTGAATATGTGTAGTAAATATGATGTCTGATGGATTCTGACGAAAAGTGCCTCTTTTCTTCAGGGGCCAAAGCCAAAAAGTTTATGAGTAATACTCCTTGGTATAGTCTATCACTGGTAGAAATATTAGAACGATCGGCTGTTGCCGCATGGAATACGGTAGGTCAACATTTTCATGAAAAATATCAATATAGAGCCTTCTTGTGACGCTTCCAGAATCCGTAAGGATCGTTGGAAACTCTTGAAATTTTGTATGCAGAGGTACAACACCTTAGTAGTTATGGATGAAAAAACAAAAAGTCAAAAGTTCAAAAGAAAGTAGTAGAAAAGTCATTTTTACTAAAAAAATCACATAAAAAATCACTAGTAAAAATTTTCAAAAATTTTGTTCTCATTTTTTAACTAGGAAGAAGTGATCCGATAGGGCTGAAATTTTTATGGGATACTTACATCAATGCCCCCTCTCATCCATAAAAAAATTAGCAAATTCTGAGATGTCATTGTATCACGACCGTCTGAGTCTTTCAGAAACCTACTCTTAAATTTTATTGACCAAAGCGGTAAAACCAAAGTGCTATCGAGTAAATTGACCAACAAACGTTCTCAAAATATAAATGTACGGTGATATGAATGCGCTTTTCTAAATATGTTTGTGTGCCTTTCTTTAATCAGAAACATACTGAAGCATTAGTCCTGTAAACGTCAACTTCGGATAAAAATCTTTAGTAAACTAGTTTTCAGTGATAATTATATTAGATTTCTTCCAGAAAAGGGTCAGCAAATCCCTTGGATGAGCGCTACTTGTTATTACTAGAATATCGATTTAAAGTACCTGAAGAATATTACGGTATGTTATTCATAGTAGACAAGTTCGTGTTTATTTTGTTTAATAAAATGGAAGATATAAGTAGTTAGAAATGGATATGCTTGTCATCAAAACGATGTTGAAATGTTTGTAACGAATATCTGTCATGATAACGCATATATTCCAAATCAATGGTTGCCAACCAAGGACTCAGTGCACGAATTTGTTCGATGTCAGGCCCTTCATGGTTCAACCAAACTCGAAGTTCGACATGTTGAAGTGTTTGGCAACTTCGTAAGATTTGAGCCAATCGAACGAAATCGAATGGTTTTTCTCCACTATTCCGGTAGTCAGCTGTACCTATTTGAAGATAAAATCGTTTGACAGGACCAATCTGAAGCAAAAACTCGATTTCATCGAGATTAATATCATAATTAGCGTTTATGCTTAGAGTACGAATTTTCGTCGTAATTTTACATGGAAGAGCGGTTTCTTCTAACTTTCTAGCATCGACCCGTAGTGTAGTAAGATTTGGTAAACGCTTGATGAAACTAATCAATAATGGAAATAAATTAGCTTCATAATCAAACGTAACGACAATTCGACGAATAATATTATTCGTTGTTGTACCTTCGCATAATGTTCTAACGAGATATACACCACTAACTGAGGTAAGAAATGGAAATGGATCATCGAAAAGAATTCTTGAATAACTGTCTGCTTTGTAATAGCTGAAATGAAGACATTCTAAACGTGGAAAATTTGCAGGAGAAATCTGACTCAATAATCCAGACTCTTCATGCATCTGAGAGAATCTTCGTAAATTAATAAATGGTCGAATATCTATGTATTGAAGTTTAGTATATGTTTCATCCCATGCACCCCATGTTCGGCGATGATCTTTGAAAGAAACAACAATTTCGGCCCATTCTTGCAGATACTTCGAATCCCATCTTAAATCGCCATCTGAGAATACGTGAAGACAAGAACGAGCAGAACGTAGAATAGAATTGAGGCGAAAAGTGAGATTTGCCCAAGCTCGACATAGATCAACATGATCGCGATGTGAATAACCGAATATTTCCAAGAAAACTTCATTGGGCAACTGTTCGATGCATGTAGGCAATCGTATATCACTCATGTTTATAGTTTTATTTATGTGAATTGAATCGATACGATCAATGAATTATACTGCCTTATTCATAAAATTCGGGCGTATTTATATCATCACCGATTATATGCAAATCGAAATTCTATCAACGCAGATGTAATACATACATATGAAGAAAGAAAGAGAAATAAAGTATCACGTGAATGTTATGATCTGCCATTCCTGGCAGCTCATAAGACTGTGTTTTCTTCTCCTTCTCCTTTCTTTCTATTATTGCGCAACTCTTGTTTCATTCTTTCGTTTTCGTTTCTTTCTGTTATTGTGCAATTCTTGCTTCATAGTGGGATTTTCCTAAACTATTTCTGTTCTTATGTAACTCATGCGCAACTCTTGCCTAACTGTTGTTCAACTTGTGTACTATATATAGCCGTTCACTTTCTTAAATAAAGATGAGAAGTGAGTGAGTAGAACCTCACAGTGAAATAAAGTATAGATGCAGTTATCTCACCGTGCGAAATCAAGAGGGAAGAACAAATGAGAAATTACCCATTGTAATTTTAAGAAGTAAATAAAGGACGGGGCGCATAAGAACGGCAATCGGCCCACTCTCCGATTTGGACAAATGTTATACCGATCGATGCAGAATTTCACGGCGAATCCTTTGATACTAAATTCAACTACCTTTGGACGGCATTTAGTGGTTTTATAGCTCTATTACTGAGAGGCTGTTTTTTATGGTATATTTTTCAGTATTAGCTTTAAACGATCGTAAAAATCTCCCAATAGCAAACTGCCACCTGCATAGATCGATAGAGCTCGACGAGCTCTACAAAATGGTATATATCCCATTTCGATTTGAGACTGGCCAAAAAAAAGTTACGACCCATACTGTCAGAACACTGGTTTTTGAGCAGTTTTCGACGATTTCTAAGGCAAAACGATCGTAAAAATGTCTTTACGGCGGACTTCTACTTACATAGGCAGATAGAGCTCGACGAGCTCTACAAAATGGTATCTACACCATTTCGGTTTCACACTGGCCAACAAAAAAGTTATGATAACCAAGCAACAGAAGCGGACTATAGTGACTCAAAAAACCTAGAAAACTCGTCACACATGATCTAAAATAGCTTTAAATCATGAAGAATCCGAATAGACGTTGTCGTGTCTTTGAAACCATCACTTTTGTTCAACAGCGCTATGCGCAACGAGAGTAAACGCTACTCACTTAGCGCCTTTTATAAAAATAATTATCTTCGCACCCGTTGAGATGTCATTGATGAAACTTTCAGAAAATGTTTAACTAATAGTCGTTATTCATTGCCCAAAATTTCAGCTCAATCCGTCCGGCGAAAAAACAGTCGATTTTTTCAACTCTCTCATAATGTTTGCAGTAAACTGCGAAACTAAATTCACTGTTCTGTGTCTACATTCTGTACAACGATTGAAGTTGTGCAATCGATTCGATGTTACCAGTAGTATTTTTTTTTGGTATAATTTTTGTGTTCTGTTTATATAAGCTTTATTCTGTCAGAATACAAGAGAAAAGGTTCAGGCTACATCTATAACAGCTGTTTGTTCATCAACAACACCTAAAAGTTTCATATTAAATAGGATGACTTGTTTTAAGACAATCAGTTTCAATATCTGATAATCTATGACCTCTTGTTTTATACTATCGTTAGGAAAGGCGCCATACTAAATGTTAAATTAGATCAAAGCCTGGATGTAATATAAAAATTTATTTGGAACGTTTGTAGTAGTACTACGAATATGAACAATTTCTTCTAATCGTTCATTGTCGATCGGCGATGTATTTTCAGTATTAGTACAATCTTCTGTTCGTTTTAGTATTGAATCCATATCAGTTAATCGATCAACAATTTCTTCCATTTTCGAAGACCTTGTTTTACATTAGCACATATTCGTAGCAAATTTTACAATAGTAGAAGGAAAGAACCAGAAATTTTACGATAATCATTCTAATGGTTTAACGTGATTCTGAACCTACGAAAGAGTTCGAGAACTGCTCATTCCTAATTAGGATCTTTCGAGGGAACTAAGTTTGCTTTCTTTTTTAAATAGTTGAGTAATATATCATATCACTACCTATCAATGTGTCCAGATAAAATTTAATTATTCGGTACATTTTTCAAGCGTTTCAGAAAAACATGCTCATGACCAATGGAGGGAAACAGGACTTACGAGGGAGGTCCACCAACTTATAAATCGTTTTCCCGTCAAATCTAATTGACTATAGGTAATCAACCATGCTGATTCCGAATATCATCATGACTGCTGCTGCTAGATCTTGAAAGATCGGTTTTCTGGAAAAACAGTTTTTTAGAAACTTTAAAAAATAATCAAAACCTTTTCTTAATGCTGCATGATTGTAGCCCGCACATTTCTGATTAAAATGAGACGTCCCCCAGCTCTACACAACCTTTCTTTGCAAAGGTATAGAATTTACAAGAAGCCATAAATGTTCATTCTCAGCTCAAAGCTACAGAAATAAGAAGAAATTAATGCAAGACTTTTCTTGTAAATTCTATAACTTTGCAGAGAAAGGTCGTGTAGAGCAGGTAGACGTCTCATTTGAATCAGAAATGTGCGGGCTACAATTATGCCTCATTAAGAAATGTTTTGGTGTCTACAATCAATTTTAGAATTTTCTTTCGAGAGATCAAAGATAAAATTCGTCTTTTCAATACGACAAATAAGAGATATGTGCTAATGTAAAACAAGGTCTTTGGAAATGGAAGAAATTGTTGATCGATTAACTGATATGAATTCAATACTAAAACGAATTTTCTGTCGAAACAGAAGATTGTACTAATACTGAAAATACATCGCCGATCGACAATGAACAATTACACGACCTTTCTCTGCAAAGTTATAGAATTTACAAGAAAAGCCCTGAATTAATTTCTTCTTATTTCTGTAGCTTTGAGCCGATAATGAACATTTATGGCTTCCTGTAAATTCTGTAACTTGAAAAAAGTGTCCTAGGGGTGATTGCACGAAAGAGACGACCTAATGCACTAGAGCGTGCTCAATTTTTTTTTTAAAATTTAATTCTGATTTCGCCAGTTTGTAGCCCTACTAAAGTTGAGTATATTCTGAAATTTGTAGACTTTAGCGATGTTTCATTGATGGGGAACAAATTTTTTATCTCGACACATCACTCTATTCCGCACGTTTTATGACTTTTTGTATGGTCTGGCGTTATTCACCAATAACGTTCCAATCGAGATTTTTGGTGGGTATATACTAGACAACGAGTACTACACATCTACCGACTCAGAAAAATTTTTCGATCCAAGGGGGATCGTTGGCACGCCATTTTGGTGTCTATTTTTGACGATGGATTTCTCTGGGTTGTGCAAGTTGATAAGCTTCAAATCTTGTCAGTATATACTACTAACCTTTACTCTATCAGAATCTGTTTTTGGACGTTCGGCTTTTTACTTCAGGGCCTGGTTGGCTCCTACTGAAGTATACCGTGTTTTCATAGTATGCTCACCTATCAGGTAAAAATTTGTCCTTGACATATTTTTTAAGGGCACTCCCCTGTGGTGCTAATTAGGCCCTACTAACAGCTTCACAAACAACACCCAATTCTATTCTACCAGCAGCAACAATTATTATTAGTTGAATGATAAAAGTTTTGTACAAAAAACTATTTGTACAATGTTAAAGTTCAATAATATAGCTAATGTTCTTCTTTGTTGTTCTGAGAGGAGGTGGCGGAAATCGTGATGCTGATGTAAAGAAGGAGAAATGA